TGATCCCCGAGTGTCATTCCTGTGGTACCTTTTCAAACTACACCTATATTGGGGGAAGATACTTGGGAATGGTTCCAGGTTCGTGTCAGGGTTCATCTTTTGGCAAGGGTTCATACGTGGAATAAGAAGTGATGGGTAGGAAGAACAAGTGTCCTAAACAGCTGTATGAAAATGAGACACATCCTGAGATCCCTTTTTGCCTCAAGTGGCCTTGGAAATCTGGCTTAAGTTCTTTGTTTTCTAATGTAATGAGTAGAAACCTAAAGGAAACATACGCTTCCCTAAGAATTGCTTCCATTTTCCTATCTCTGTTCTCTGTAAGAATTCTCTGAACAAAGTAGCAATTTCTGTGTTCCTACAACATCTAAATTGGTGCCTCTGTCATTTCTTATCCCTAAAGAACCAAATACAGAGCAACATACAGAATGTTCAGGAGGAGTTTCAATGGCTGAGAGACATGCTGGACTCTGAGGAAAAGAATGAGCTGCAAAAGCTGAATCAAAAAAGAAAGATGTTTTCAACAGCCCGGCAGAGTCTGAAGGTGAGCAGGTGCAGCAGATGAAGTTGATGGAGGATCTCATTTCAGACCTGGAACATCTGCTACAGGGCTCAACCATGGAGATGCTGCAGGTGAGACTGTAGGAAGTCCCAGAACCTGAGATTCAGGAGCCCTGGAAACTGTGTCCTTGTCTTGTGTGTTGCTGTGTTCTTCCCTGTGATGATGGTAGAGCTCTCAGCTAGTGGGAACTAGCTTATTTCCAAATAAAACTGGAAATCAGCTTTACGTATATGTGACTTGAATTTAGGGGTGAATGAGGTCAGTTTTAGTTAACATGTAGAATGAGAGGAGACACTTGTTTAGCAGTACTCTCGGTTAAAGCTATATAAGCTTTTGAGGAAATATTTTTTACACATAAAGGCCTATCTATCAAGTAAACTATGCATCTTCAAGTGCCCTTCAAAATGGGACTATCCTCTGGAGCCTGGTTAGTCTATCCAGCATTATGTCCTTAAAGAAAGCTTACTCTTGCTCTCCTAGCTGTTATCGGCTGCCGGTACTTCCCCAGCTAGAGTTGAGGCTTTTTCCCCACTTCCCCACTTTTATGCTGAGATTGTTCCAGCTCTAGCTTGCGTGAGTCTTGTGTGTGCTCTCACCATTGCTGTAAGTTCATATGAGTAACTGTCCAGCTCTCTGGAAAACTCTGCTGTTGGATGGGGAAGTATTATCTAACCTGTTCTCCAAAACCTGGTACTGTGTTAACAAATAATTGTCTATCCAGTTACATATCTGCTAAACATAGTGCCATTCAGTATATAATAAATCCCCTCATTGAGAGCCATGAGTGACAGACTTGACTCTTTTCCTAATCTTTTGTGTTTGATACTAGGATCATCTCTATCATCAGCATATCAGGGGGCCATTGAAGATGTGATGGAGCTTGGCAAGTGAGGAGGGTCTGTTATTAACTCATGTTTTCTCCCTTCTCTCTAGGATGTGAGTCATGTCCTAGAAAGTTATGTGTGGGATGTCGAGCTAGGATGGTTCTTGTTTAGTGAGAATTATTTAGGGTCCAACTAAAATATATATGCTCAGATTGGAAGAATTTAGCTGAAGTCTATAATTTCGAATTTCTGTTAAAAAATCTGGCTTTGAGTGCTTTGTAACTACTGAGAATAGATTAGATTCTGTGGTAAGGAAATGAGTTGTAGGTAGTTATAGATGTTGACTTAGTAGTGGGGTTAGGCATAAGGTGGTACAAGTGCTATCAGTACCCCTGTCTTTCTAGAATTTGATTCAGTCTATATATAAGCATCTAGTTCTATTTCTGATTTAAAGGTACCTGACTTGTTTTGCATGAGATATGTCCTCTACGTTTATTAAGTATGCATAATTGTCCACTGTGAAAATGCTGATATATTTATGTCTTTCCCCTGAGAATAAAAGAGACCAGGACTTATTCATGGTTGTATTTAGATTTTCAAACACAGACTTGAAACTCTGGGCATAATATTTTGGTCCAGGGCAAACAATTGATCCAGCTCTATGACATCTTTCACAGAGTGTGGAAAGACAGTATCCTTGTGCCTAAAAGTTCATATTCATCTGGCTCCATCAGGCATTTTTTCTAAAACACAAAAACAATGCTAGCATTAGTTTAATGTTCCTTTCTTCTTTTCCAAATGCTTGACATTTTCCCAGAAGACCTTGAAAACTCAAACCATACCTCAGTCTCCCTGCTGGCAAAAGCTTTGAAGATCATGAACTTCTCCAGGTGGGTTTCCTACACACGATATGCTGTGCTCACACAGGAGCAGTGTCTGCACCCTGACTTTGATCAATTTGGGAGGAATGTACTTTCATGGAAGCTCCTTTCCTAATCTACTTTTTTTCTTCCTCTCAGGTAACCTAGCTGTGCTTTGTTTTAAAATTATTTCTTTGTGTTTTATGATTTCTAGAAGGTAGAGTGCTAGAGGCTAGTTGTTTGATTCTATAAGGGAGGAACTGTGCTTCTGAGAGGTTAGGACCTTCCCTTCTTGTCTCCAAAGTTAGTGGTCTGCCTCAATTCTCCTTCTTCAGCATTCTGAGGAGAATGAAGGGTATCTGAGGTTCCAAATGACAGGAAGTCAGTGGGGTCACAAGGTGTGAGATATTGGAGGTCCTTTTTTTTTTCATCCCTAGGGGTCAGACTTTGAAGCTGGAGAAGCCAGAAACTATCCCCAAAGAACCAAGAAGAGTGTTCGGAGCTCCTGATCTGTGAAGGGTGCTGCAAGTGTTCCGAGGTGAGGAGAGCTAGTTAAGTGGCTTGGCTGTGAGATTCTAGGAGTTACAGGGTCTAAACTGAAGACTATGGTTTCTAGATGTGGACTGAGGGACAAGAGGTATACATATTGTGTGCCATGATGTGATCATACTTAATGGAAAATGATCATTCATCCCTATTCATGAGTTCACTTCCCCATCATAGTTCCTGATCTTTCCTCTCATTGGAGGAGAAATGGATCTTAGTGTGTTTATTTCTTTGCTTGCATTTAATATTGTGAATTTTTGCCATGTCAGTGCTAACAGAAGTCCGACGCTACTAGGGTAAGGAGACATCACAACATCAATGGCCACCCTCCTCTCAGTTTCTTTCAGGGTTTATTTCTCTTTGGGCCTCGTGTTCTAATGCTTGTATTGCTTCTGCCAGTAAAGAGCTACACAGTAGGTTTCTGCAGTGTTCTGCCTCCTGTGCCTTCTGAGCAAAGTTTCCACTTCCCCTTTGATATCACAAATAAGAACACATCTTGTGCTTTAAATAACACTTATTCAACTGTGTGATTTTTCTGCAGTTCCAGTGAAGCTAACTCAAAGCTTCAATCCACACATTGCCATTTCTGAAGACCAGAGACAAATAAAATTTGAACATGATTGGAGATTCTCACTACAGGATCCGGGCTATGATGAGGGTATACTGGGACACCCAGTTATCCAATCTGGGAAACATTATTGGGAGGTGGACGTGTCTAGAAAAGGTGCCTGGCTCCTGGGGATAAATGATGGAAGATGTACCAAACCCACATTCTGTTCAGAGGATGAAATAGGCTACAAACTCAAAAAATGTTCTGATGATACACATGTTCCAAGTTATCAGCCCAAATGTGGCTACTGGATTATAGGACTGAATAGTGAGTCCTCATACAATGCTTTTGATGAGAGTCCAGTCACCTATGATTCCAAACTCTTCAGCCTCTTTCTGACCAATCCTCCCTGTTGTGTTGGAGTTTTCCTAGACTATGAGGCTCACACTCTCTCATTTTATGATGTTTCCAACATCGGGGTTCTCATCTACAGAGTCTCTGCACGTTCCTTTCCCAAGAGAGTTTTTCCATATTTTAAACCTATGTCAATTGCCGATGACAGTATACTGGCCCAGTGACCCTTAAACTCTCACCCATTTCTATGCTGTACGCCTGGCCCTGGTGTTCAGCTCATGGGAACCATTTTAGTGGTTTTTTTTTTTTTTTTCTGTCTCCAGTCTTTAATTTTATAGAAATTAGGATCTGTGCACTTCCCTGAACCGTGTTCTTCCCAATTCCTTATTTGTTGTGAGAGAGCAGTAATTTGTTATTTGGAATGGAATGAGTAATTCCTGGTTAAGTGAGGTTCCCCCACACCACTGCTTAACCTCTTTTCTCTTCATCTTTTCTTTCTTTCTTTTTCTGATGCTAGAAATGAAACCCAGGGTCTTGTGCATGCTGAGAAGACCATGGGCCACTACTGTTTCTGCCTTGCCTTGGGCAAATCTCTATAACCCTTTCTTTTTGCCATCAACCAAAGATTAAAAATGTTTTTCCGCCAGTTTCTATTACTTCTGGAAAGTTACATGTAGGAGTCTTTGGCTATGGGATGAGCCTTCAGCGGGACATCAGTTTGACAATGATCCTCCTTCTACATCAAGGAACTAAGATGAAAATATCACACGTGGCATATGCTAAGAGTACAGACTGTGTGTCCGGAGTATCTAAGTTCAAATTCTGCCTCTCCAGACATCAGCAGTGTAACTGTGAATATTCTTAAATGGCTGTGCTTCTTTTCTGACAGTTTTTATATAAATGATTCACCTGTACCTCTTGTCAACATGAGAAAATAATTTCAGTGCTGGTGAATAGCTCTTGCTGTCAAGCCTGAGAACCTGAGTTCAAGTCCCACACCCCCATGGTACGAGGAAAGAGCTGATTCCTGTATGTTGTCCTCTGACCACCACACACACGCTATCGCATGCACAGACCTAGACACATACACAAACACAAACAGAATAAATATAATTTTAAGAAAGAAAAGAAATTCACTAAAAAGAAATCATTCACTGAGGTGTCTCAATAAATGTTTGTTCTGTTAATTAGTGAGAGAAGCATTCTGTATTGGTGTCCCGTGAAACAGTGGGGAAAATGGGGTAACTAGGTTTTACTTTGCTGAACTCTTCTTATTAGGTCCTTGAAAACTGCTATCAAAACCACCCCAGTTTTGTCATGTATGGCTATATATCTGCATGTTTTTCTTTTGTCACATTTGGGGGTAATTTTTGTGTTGTTGTATATTGATCCCTATCAAATAATTAATTTCTGTGATATTCAGGTTACAATTAATATGGATAATATTAATAAACTTATGTGATATTGTAAAATGTGAACAGAACGTTATTAGGAAATTGTATTGTTTTGGTGGGCCACGCCTGCAATCCCAGCACTGGCAAGGTTGAGGCAGCATGACGGTGTAAGATTGCCTAGGACTGAAGTTACAGACAGTTGTTATCCACCATGTGGGTGCGGGTGAACAAACCCAGGTCCTCTCCAAAACCAGCTAGTGCTCTTAACTGCTGAGCCATTTCTCCAGCCCCGATAATCCTAACATATCCTGAAAATGAATAAATGAGTCACTTCCTCTATTGAGAAAACTGTGGGGCAAAGCAAGAGTTAATACAATTAGAGCATGGTGGTAGAGACAGATTACTCACTAGCCTTAGAAATCCTTGGAAGGAAAAAAGCAGAGAAGGCATGAGAAAGTACTGGTTAAAATTTGGAAAAGGGCTGGGTATAGTGACACATGCTTTTAATACCAGGACTTAGGAGGTATAGACAGGCAGGCCTCTGTGAGTTCCAGAGCAGCCTGATCTATACAGGAAATTTCAGCCAGCTAGGGCTACACAGTGAGACCCTGACTCTAAATAAATAAATAAATTAATTAATTAATTAAAAATAGTATTGTAAATGGCAGGGTGGCCTGAGCCTCTAATCCTGCCATTCAGGAGTTTGAGGTCAGCTTTGGCTACTCATAGTGAGTTCCAGGCTACTCTGAGCTACAGCGCCAAACCCTAATGCCCCACTATGCCCTCCTGGGCCACACACAAAAAAAAAACCTTGTAAAAGAGATTTGCACAATAGTAATAACAGAATAATAGATACATCGTTACATTGTGTGATGACAGTAATGGTGTCCTGCCAGTGCCAGCCGGCCAAGACAGACAGTACCTGAAAGGGGGAGTGAGGATTGAAAGAAAGAAAAGGAGACAGAAAAGATGCTTGGGAGGACTGACAGTGAATACTGCAGCCCTGGTTTATTTCAGCTCCACCTTTTTATACAGAAGAACTCAATTGGTTTCAACAGCTGTTTTTTCCCAACCTGTATCTGAGGGTCAAGGAGTGGTCAGATCAAAGGCTTCTTTGATCCTTTTGTTTACCACTATTGCCTCCAGGTCAGGTATTGTGAGGCTCTCCACATGAACACATCCCTCCTGAATGGGCAGGTTAAGTACTGGTATGCATAACACAAACTCAGTAAACAAGGCTGCCACAGCTCAATGCACATAATAGATTAGCAGCTCCCACCATCGCCCCCTTCTTTTTTTATTTTTATAACCCCAGATTATGATATTATCTGGGACAGAAGGACCGTGCCTGTCTTAGGTTGTCTTCTGCCAGAGCAAAGCCTTACCCGTCATCAACACGTAGCTTCCATCAGCTACGCCCTGTCTTAGGTTGACTTTCTCCCAGAAGATCTTACCCGTCTTTGACTACCAGCCTCTGTTAGGGGAGGGAGCGCAATCTCATATCATGCACAGCTGCCTTGACTTGCCACAGGCATAAATAACTTTACTGCCACCAGATGAAAACAAAGACAGGAGGGAAAGCATGTAAGGAGGCTCTCAGCCTTTTTAGAATATCTGCTGCTGCTTATAGGGTGGAAATGCGGGGAAAATTTTTGTTTTTTCTATTATCTCTTGGCAATAACACGTTGACATTGGTACAATATCCACTTTGTCCCACAAGCACACAGTTATCTACTTGTACACACCCGGGCTTATTTTTAACAAAAAAAATAGGCAACCCGCTTCCCAATCCAAAATAATCATCAGGCGTTTTGAAGCAGGCTAAGCAATTAACCAAGAGTCATTCACAGTCACTACTATCTCTTTTTTCTCCCATATCACGGGGTGCAATGTTGTGCATCAGGAACATAAGTCTAGTATAATTCAGCCACGATCACTTGCAGGAACATCATCATCAGCCATGTCTGTCTCCTCATCATTCTTTTCTACTTTTTTTTTTTTTTTTTGGTGCACATAATAGATTAGCAGCTCCCGACAGTGTCCACAGCAAGACAACAAATCTGCAACAGGTCATCATCAAATGTCAAGCTTGGACCAAGAATGCACTTCAGGTTAGAGCACTAGCTTGGCATTCTTCAGGTTCTGTGTTCAATCCCCAGAAGTCTGAAAAACAATAACAAAGCCTGCAATCCTAGCACTGGAGAGACTGCGGGAGGAGAATCCTGAGGCAGAGCCCAGTATGGGTTACACACTGAGGCCATTTTTGATAAAAAGTAGAAGAACTATTTTGAGTTACAATTACAGTGGTGTATCTGTTTAATATTCCTTACGTCACCTTCTGTTCTAGTAGATTGGAGACCATGAGGAACAAAAGAAGTAATGGGAGGTGCCTGTGCCCAGTGTGGTCTTCCACATTGCTTCCCCTAAGCATTTTCCACTTTTTATGTTAAGAAAAGGTATTATGTACTCCCAGGTTGGCCTGGTCATAAACTCACTATGTAGCTGAGGATGGCCTTGACCTTCAGGGATTACAGGCCTTGCCACCATGCCTGATTTTATGCAGTGCTGAGGATTCATCTCAGGGCCTCATGCATGCTAGGCAAGCTCTCTGACCCCATTCCCAGCCCTAGGTAGTTTTAGTTTCTAATTCAGGTGATGCTGAATGAATCCCAGAAGACTCTGTGAACAAAAGTTCCCAGAAAAACTGTGTCGTAAAACTGAGTGTTCTACAAAGGCGTATCAACTTGATTAGCACTTCAGTGATTGTGGAGAGTTTGTCACAAGTCCAGAGCCAAATTAACATTTATCTTGGGCTACCTTTAGCCTCCTAAATAGCCAATGCTTGCCTACCTTTTTTTTCTGACTTAGCATTGTGTGGCTAACATAAAAACCTTTTGGAACCTATTAACTTGTGGACTACCAGCTTCCCCCAATCGAAAGGTTGAGTGCCATCTGTTAGGGTTCCAAACAGCAGTAGTTTCCCCCCTCCCCAACAGGGACCTCACCTTGACCTTTGGAGTCAAGGGAAACTCTGCTGAGAGGCAGCCTGCCTCTCCTCTGATCTCCAAAGATAAGATAAGCAGATTCTACCTGTTAACCAGAGATTTTAGAAGCTGTTTATCACAACAAGCTTTTCTCTTATCTTAAGAGAGAAAAAGCAAACACTTCCAAACCCTAATCCCAGGTTGGCAGACTGAATGGAGCCAGGCTTTTCCTGCTTCCCCCTCCCTGATTTCTCCCCCAAACATTCCCCCCTTCCACACCCTAAAGCCCCCATATATAAAGTCCCAGCTCACAACCCGTGGGCTGTCATCTTTCCCTTCCCCGAGGGAAAGGTGCCCCGTGCGAAATAAATCTGTATCCCGCTGAGAATTCCATCTGTGCAT